AGAGAAAAAGAGAGAACACGTCAGGTGGCAACGACACCTCACGATGGCTGCAGCTGCAGCCTCCGAAGCTGGACTTGGCTCAGAAGGGGGAAGATTTTGTACGAAGCGTGGGTTAACCTGTTTTTACTCAGGAGAAGTGAGAAAACAACAGAAACGACGACGACGACGACGATGACGACGATGACGACGGTGACGACAACGACAATGACGAAAACGACAACGACAGAGAGAAGGTTTCGTGAACCAGTTGTTGGGTACCCAGACCAACCGAAACCAACTTCTGGCGATCATTCTGATCATTGACGCGATAAATATAATTCCACGAAAGTACGTCGATCACGTGACGACGTACAAGTTCATGAGATTCAACAGTCTCACACGCGATTCAGGATAATCATTTCTTTTTAGTCTGAAATCATTTCGAACGTAATATAACGTAACATAAGGATCGAAAGAAAGTAATGGTCATTAATTGCACGAAATTTTGTTCTCTTTGATATTCGATTCATGATCGTATCCATGATCGCAATTTGATAGTTTTATCTTTGTATTTTTACAAAAATCGCATACCTTAAAATCTTTAGTAGAAGTGTTACGGTATTAGTTTACATCGGACGATTCATTACACGTAATATAATACGAAGGAGACTCGGGGTAATAACTTTATTCGGATACACTATCGGGCTGCGTAATTGCACGGTAAATGTCCCGTTCTGTTCTTAAACCTTTTCCTCCCTTTTTCCTTATAGAGCTTATTTCCTTTGTCACTCTCTCTCTTTCTCTCTCTCTCTCTCTCTCTCTCTCTTTCTCCCTCCGTTTATATCAACCTTTTTCCCCTTCTCTATTTTTGTCTTTACGTTTCTCTCTACGTTTCGTGTCCATAAATATTGTCGTTTACGACGATCTGTGGCCAGCGAATCACCTTTGGTACACGGTCGTGCGTCGAGAACTTCGTGATCGTTAGTTTGAAATCATTCTAATTAGCAGCGCGAGTGAGAAAGAGAGAGAACAGAAGAAGAATGGAGGGGGTAAAAGAACTCGAGGTAAATGTTTCTGGTGATGAAGAAAGAAAGATAGAAAGGAAGAAAAAGCTAGAGAAAAGGAAAAAAAAATTAGAAAAAAAGTGCAAAGAAAGATAGAACTAGTAAGATGCGCACTTATTTAACTTTTCTTTTGGCACTCCGTTCTTTCTATACTATATAATTTGCAAGAGCTTACTATTAATTAGATTTTATTATAACCGTATCCGCGGTTTCCTCGCTTTTCTTATGGTTTACCGTCTAACCAACCCCTATCTTGAGTTTCAACGATAGAACTATTTCAGGCTCTTTAATGAGCACGACAACGACAGATCGTACGCTCATTCGAGATATATTATAGCCTAATAGCAATTTTCTCTTATTCTATTTTCGTCGTTCGTCGGTAAGGTCCGATTCGAAGAAGGAAGCGAATAAGTTCTCTAAAGATTACGATATAGACGAGATAGAGAAGAAGAGTTTGTAAGAACCATTCGGTGATAATCGTCAAACGATATTCGCCGTTAATGCAACTATAAAGGATGCATAGTGGAGCCGCGTTATCGCCTTTAAAGAAGCCTCTTAACGGCCACGCGTAACTATCGGTCCGACGTTTTATTGAAATCGCCGAAGGATCAATTTTTCTTACCCTTCGGCCTTGAGAACGTGACAAGGATGGCCCTAACGTGGCTCGATATCGTACCAAGTTTACCTATGTGTGTGTTTAGATATTTATACATATACGTTCTCACACACATATACGCACAAACGTATACATGCTCATACATACATAACACGATTGCTAGAGTATGCTATACCTACGTAGAACGTGCGCGACTTCGAAGGCACGATAGCCGTAATGCCCTAATGGCCTGCCTCCTCTCGGTCTCTCTATCTTTCTTTCTCTTCGTATTCGCGAGCACCTTCTCTCTTCTCATCGTTAAAGGGGGATAAACGAAGCATGTAAGAGATGCGCGTGAGATAAGAACGTGGCGCGAAGGACGTATCCTTTTCGCACCCCAATTCTTCTTCCCTCGAGTCCCTTTTTTATTTTTCTTCTTCTTCTGCCTCTTCTTCTTCTTTTACTTCTTCTTTCCTTGATCTTAGGAGATGGAAACAGCAGACGATTCGAAAAGAAGCAAAAAAAGAAGGAGAGTAGAGAAAGATAGAGAAGATGGTTTAAACTAAAGAGTTGCTAAGAGGAAGAGAAGAAGGAATAGTATGTGGAGGTGGAGGAATTAGGCAGCTTTTGCATCGTAATACGCATCTGGTAATCACTATGATCGCGATGGGCGTTACCGATCCTTAACTTTAATAGTCTGCGTTGCCCAAAAGAACTGACGTGTCTTCTCACTCTCTCTCTCTCTCTCTCTCTTCGTCTCTCTCTCTCTCTCTATCTTACATTCTTCTCTATAAGTTTTTCTTTGTTACTCTTTCTTCCTTCTTCTTGTAACGTTACTGAATGTCCCGAAGGGATATATACGACGAAGAGAAACAGAGAGGCGCGCAAAACTTTTATCGTTTTGCCAAGTCGTAATTTTTGCAGGTATGCAATTCATGTGCGCGTGGTTCTTTCTTGAAGAAGAATCGAGATAATAAGCGTCACGCACTTCTTATACCTGGCGTACGGTAAATTAGACGAGGAAGGACGAAAGGATTGTATAGAAATGAACTTAAAAGAATTTGACTATTTATTTATATATAATTTATTTTCCATCATTATCGTTATATTTATTACAACTTTCTTTTCTATTCTTTTTAGATAGCTCATCTATACTTTTTATTTCAATTTATATTATAATTTATAATTTATATTATTTATAATTTATATTATTATTATTATTATCTTCAACGCATAGATTACAAGATCACAGAAAAAAAAGATATCTTTGAAGTTTACAGGAAGTATCGGGATTTATTCTTTCGTTAGTTCATCGGTTAGTTTTGCAAAATCGATGCAGCAATAGTAATAGTAGCAGCAGCAGCACCAGGAGCAACAGCAACGGCAGTAGGATGCACCGTGCACGCGAGGAAATTTATGCTCCCGCGAGCTTTGCACGACTTAACGTTTAACGTGCACGTTACACGTACACGCGTTATGTACGCGAAAGCCGCGGGGTGAGAAGTGAGGGGAGGGTTAAGGGGTCGAAGATTACACGCTCGACCCGCGAACGGCATTGCGCGTTCAACGCGTACACTATACACAAACGTAAACGCATTCCTTCTTTATTTCTTAATATTTCTCTTTCAAGTTTTAAACTACGAATAGAATATTGATAATTATTCGAAAATTAACATTCTCATTTTACATATATCAGATATTGTGTTAATACGTTTTAGATATTTGTGTTAGTGTTAGATATGATAAAATCGTTACACATAGAAAATTTTTATAAATTATCGATTAGAATTGATCGATATAATCACGTGTGAAACTCGTTCAGGATCATAGGGTTTGGTTGAAGTCTTTCGTCGCTGTCGTTGTCGTTCGAAAGACACGTATACAGATAGAGGAGGAAAGATAGCTTGTCGGAAGTAGACACCGATGGTCGATAGCTCTTGGCTAGCCGACCAGCCTCAAAACGGCGTGGCACGTTGCGAGATCGTAAGATCTGCGGATCTGTCGAGCGAAGAAGAGAAGAAAGAGAGAGAGAGAGAGAGAGAAAGAAAGAGAGAGAAAGAGAGAGAAAGAAAGAGAGAGAGAGAGAGAAAGAAAGAGAGAGAGAGAGAGAGAGAGAGAAAGAAGAGAGCGAAAGAGAGAAAAGAGGAAACGAAATAGGGGAATAAATAAAGGAGGGAGAACGAGAGAAAGAGAGAGAGAGAGAGAGAGAGAAAGAAAGAGAGAGAGAGAGAGAAAGAGAGAGGATGGAATCCACGCGAGTTGCAAGCATGTCGGCACTAAGTTGTATTAATGTAGTCGATCAATCCTAATGGACGTGGTCGCATCAGCACCGCGAGTTGCATTTGCATGCGTGCGTTGAGCGTCCCATCCAGTCCCGTGTCCGGTACCGTCCCGCGGAGGCTGTAGTTATGGTTGGTAGTGGAATATAAATCGTGGGTCATCGCGATCTTCTCGTGTCAAAGCTCGCTAGATATCGTAAACTTCGAGCAGGAAGCGCAAGCGATTCGCTTCTTTCTCGAGCGTCCCTCAGATCCCTAAAGAACGTTAGCGTCCTTAAAACGTCTTCGAACTTCTGAGCGATGATCATTGCGATCCATGCGGATCTATCGTGATCCGTTCCAAGCGTATCTCGGGGACATCGGAATGGGGAAGGATAGGAGGAAGGACGAAAGAGGATCGTTCCTTGTAAACTTTCATCTTTACGATCCACCCATAGGTTATTATGCTTGGTCGCTTACTCGCTTGCTTACTTGTTCACTTGCTTGTTTGCTTGCTTGCTTGCGACGACTGAAAGGAAAGCAAACGTGATTGGTACACGATGATACATTCTTACGAACTTTTAGAACCGTAGGAGAGCTATCTTCTTCCGCGTATCGTTCCCAAAGAAATTCCCTTTCCAATTTCTTCCCTTATAGTTGCCATGTCATAATGACTCGACAGAAGATCCTGTACGAGACGCGGGGCGACAATGATAATCGACATCCTTTAAGGATACTGCTAACTCTTCACGGAGATTACATCCAAAGGCGTTACCAGGAAATGACGGTACCACCGGGGATTACTTCTAATCGTTATAAAAAAACAAAAAGATGAAATGTTAAATCGACAAATTCTATAAGGTTGTCGGAAGTTTCGCCGTTTGGCTTTTGCAATATCAAAAGGTTGATATCCTTCTTATCGTGAGACATTCCCTCAAAAAAGTTCCAAATTATCTCTAACGTCAACGATAATTTTTATCCCTTTTTATTAATTATCATGTCTACGATATCATTTCGCTTTCGTCCGTACTTACGAAAAACGTAATGTGCCTCGTTCACGTATCCATTTCTCTACTTCTTTTGGAGTGATAAAGAAGATTGTGTATGTTTCACGGAGCTAACGACGACGGCGACGACGAGAACGACGATGATGACGACGTCGACGGCGACGAAGAGGACGAGAAGGTAAGCACAGGGCGATATATAAATTACACGTCTGGTCCCGGGAGGCCGCTCGAGGAAGAAACTAACGGTACTCGCGGGTGTTCCTCTCTTCTTCTTCCTTTCTCTCTCTCTCTCTCTCTTTTTTTTCTTTCTTTCCGTGGTCACCGATCTTAGCTCGGCTGGACGCTCTGATCTTTCCTTTTCTGCTTCCTCTCTTGTTTCTGATGTGACAGTGAAAAGAAAAGATTTCCTTCTCTGCCGAGAGAAGAGCAAAGGAACGAAGAAGAGACGTCGCTCAATTCAAGGATATCGCGCAATCGTTCGTTGATTTACGTAAGTTCCGCTGACTTTCTGTTGTAAGATTTCTGTTGAAATTTAACGATCCATTAATTTGCTTTGTAATCGAATAATCAGCAAATATTTTTTTCACTTACGCACTAATTTTTTTCTTTTTCTTTTACTTTATCATACAACTAAGAATAGTTGCTTTAGCTTTGCTTATTTTTTCTTTCTTTCTTCTTCTTTTTTTTTGTTTTTTTTTTTTTTGTTTAAATTATCGATAAAATCTATAAGGAAAGAAGAGTTCGTAAAGTCTACAACGTCGTCTGCTAAGATCGCGCGATCGCGATTACAGAGGTTACAGAGGCTAGTTGGAAATTACTTCGTGGACTCGTGATTAACTACCGGTTTGATCAATTCGTAAGATTTTCTGCTATTTCTAAGTGGATGGATAATTCGTTGTTCTCGAAAATTAGTTCCCTTAAATTGCTATAAATTACTTGGAGTATTATCTTAAAACGATTAACGGCATCGATTGGACAATTGATTTTTTCCTCTCTTTTTCTTTTTTCTTTTTTGTTTTCTTCAATACGAATTTTCTCTTAGTTTCGTACGGTCGTACTCAAGGCGATAAAGTCGAGCAGAACGATTTAAATAGACGCACTATCGATAGATTACCACTACTGTAAAGTGAAGGGAGAGAGAAGGAGAACGGTTCGTACTTGTAGTTTCTGTGCGCCGATTCTGACCTTCGTTAATCAGAGGTCCCATGCTTCCTGGTGATAAATAACGTTGGCTGCCAAGTTCAAGCATGGAAGACGCGACGCTTATTTGTATACCAGAGCATAAGCCGTTCGTTATTTCATTCGCATAAGTGTATACATTCTCTCTTTATCTTTCCCGACTATTTCTCTCTTTCTACCTGCTTTTAAATCTTCCTCCTTTCAACGGACAATTTCAAGATGAACGCAACGTAAAATCAATAGAGATTTTGAAATGAAAATTAAGAAGAGAAAAGAGAAAAAAGAAGACAAAAGAAAAAGAAAAAGGAAAAAAGAAAAGAAAAGAGAGAGAAAAACGAAAGAACGAGTCTTGAAATGCGTGCGTGAGATCGACAACACCCACGTTACCGGAGCAGCTTTCACATTTCCCATAAGTCGCTACGCAATTCAGTCAGGTTCCACGCCTAGGATTCTTGTTTCTCTTATTCTTCGAAGTAGAGACTCCACTGACTTATCCCATCGACCTCCGAAGGATAAGGAGAGAGACGAGTCTCGTGCGAATTGCTGGACGATTCACGCAATTCAAAAGAATCGTACCTGAGAAGCCGGAAAATGTCGTTGCGTTATATGTGATCTCTCGACATTGGGAGACTATATTGTCTTCTTATGCATGTAAGTACTCTTTCTCTTTCTTTCTCTCTTTCTCTCTCTCTCTCTTTCTCTCTCTTTGTGTTCGTGCATATGTATATATATGTATATATTATATATATATATGTGAAAAAGTACATCTAAATGTGTTGAAACATTGAAATAATTCAGCATGTTATTAAATTAAAATAACACCTAAACTAACAATTTTCAGACATAACATTATAAATATGTTTTGTAGAGCGTGAAAAACTGTATCGATTAACGTATACGAAATTAGAATTATATTTAAAAAAAAGGTGCCAGTGCACCTTGTAACTGCACTGATACACAAAAATGTATGAAAGTTTCATAGAATTATGTATCGTTTAATACCATTCAATTTGTCGTATGACATTTTTCTCAATCTCCAATCCTTTCAAAGATGTATAGCTCGATTTATGGGAGATCTTGTATATATGATTATATGATTGTTGTATATATGATTATTACACTCGATCGATGATCATCTTATGTCGTTAGAAAAAACAATATTAACTTTTGCTATATAATCGTTTTTATTTTTACGGTTTATTTCGATAAAAAATTGATTAAGAATTTGACACAATATCTGTTATGTATCACTAAAACATATTTCGTTTTATTTACCATTCAAATTTAAACGCGATTATGATCGGTTGCATGTAAATAGAATTTTTTTACTAGAGATACTTCTATTTATAGTTCATTGATCTATTATAAATAAGAAAATAAAATCGATTATACCGTTCGAAAAAAAATCACACAAATTGTAAAGATAGTTTCTTTATGTTTCATTAATCTTTAATTTCTCAATGTATTTGAAAAAGTCCAATATTAAAATAAGTTACTGTCTATATACGTAATTCACCTGTACAAACTGATAAGAAAAAATATTTATCAGTGTACATTACTAAACAGTATAAAAGAGAAGTAATTGATCTTGAAAAGCAACATGAGGTAAAAGAACATCTAAGCAGTATCATGCTGTGGATCGTGACACTCTTTATTCATATTTTATTAGTCGTTGCCAAACCGACCGAAAATGATGTGGTGGATTGTAAGAATAATGTTCAATAATACATTTTATAATAATATCACTTTAGAGCTGAAAATTTTTCTCTCTTTTTGTTTTGTTTTTTTCTATTTTTAGATAACACGACTGATGCAGAATTTTTGCGCAACAATTGCGTTCTATCCACGAAATATAAGTATGGCGATCTTAAAGAACCACAGCCATTGATTCTAACTCGAAATGGTACTGCATCGGTGATACTTTATCCAGACGTTAACGGTATATTAAAGATGCAAGCGGGTCAATCGATTTATTTGGCATGCCCGGGAAAACAAAATTCTCTAAGAAACATGAACTACACCCAAGAAGTGAAAGCTACCTGCATAGGGAATAAAATATTTCATGTTAACGGTGAAAATAAAAATTTTTCATCGTTGACGTGCTATCATTTGCCTGAGCACATCGCAAAGATTACAAAATCGTCGTGCTATGGCAGGAATACTCACTTCGAAATTGGTTTTAATCTGAGCACCGATTTTCTGCGCATGATAGAACTGTGTCACAATGAAAAAACTTACAATACATATTACACGAAATTCAGACTGACAAAATTGATTGGAGGACACCAGGCAGGTTATCCCAGGTAAACAGTCAATAACGATCTTATTTACAAATACAAACGAATATATATGGGTGACGGAAAACAGTACACGAATCTATTTGCGAACGGTCAAAGCGGGAATAATAAACAGGAAAGGAAGGTTTAGTTTTTAGTCTCAGTATGTCGGCATTTGCTTGTAGAATGATGAATATATTCGGAGAGGAAGGAACTTGGAAAAGTATGAAATTCGATTTAACCGGCTGTCACTGTCATTTCCCTTCGTAATCATATTGATAATGATCGTCGATAATCTTATTTTCTAGGCCGAAATGGAATGATGGAGATCATTACGGAGAGATAGATATTAACGAGCAATACAAATTCAGCGAGCAGCTTATCACACTTGAAAAACTTTTGAATTCGAGCAAATTGGCCAAATCTTATCTAATGAAGTCAATTCAGTTCCTGTCTCGCGGACATATGGTGGCAAAGGTCGACTTCATTTATGGTGCTTTACAATCGCTTACTTTTTGGACCATAAACACGGCTCCTCAGTGGATATCTTTCAATATTGGTAACTGGAGAAAACTTGAGGAATGCATCAGAAACTTTGCCACTAATCGTTCTTTGGATCTAGATGTTTACACGGGTGTACACGGTCAAATGACCTTGCCCAATGCTCGAGGCAAACAGAAAGATATATATCTCTACGTCAATGATAGGACTAAAGCCGTTCCTGTCCCCAAGTTTTTTTGGAAAATAATCTACGATCCACGAAGCAAGAAGGGTACCGCGTTTGTTGGTTTGAATAATCCCTTTATCAAGTCGAAAGATGATGGTGATAACTACATATGCTCGGATATCAGTTCCACGATCAAATGGCTTAAGTGGAATGCTGAAAATACCACAATGGGTATCTCTTATGCGTGTACCGTCGACGATCTACGTAAAGCCGTACCGACCATTCCTAAATTTAAAACGATAGGCGTTCTAACGTAAAAATCGATAGAAATGATTTTGAAAAAAATTTAAATACTTTGCAAAATAAAAAGTCAAAAAAAAATATATATTCTAGTTGGTACGTTCGATTAATTCTTTTGATTTTTGATACGTGCCGATTACGTCTTAAGTTAACATGGTTGACATATTAATTATAATTCTTTGACATTCTTATTAATAATGTAAATTTTAAAAAAAGCTATAAATGAATGTATATCCTATTATCATACGCGTCGTGTCTTATCGTGATAATTATTAGAACTAAATGAAAAAACGAATACCAAAAAGTTGATTCAGCTGATATTATAGCAGTTCGTGATGAAAAATTTTCTTAATTACTACAGTTTATACAAAGACATGCCACTGTACGATAAAATAATTATTACGGTGTACATATAGGTAAAGAATATTTATGTATATTTGTGTACATACATATGTGCGTACATACTCATATACCTATTATATTTTTAAACAATAAATGCATTCGGAATAATAGAAAAACAATTAATTCTACGTGATGTTTGCTCACGGAAAATGATAACACATCTACGTTAACACAACAAAAAAAAAAAAACAAAGAAAAAAGAAAAAACCATCGTTCCAATTTTGTTCCTTTTATATCTCAAATAATTGTATCCTTTCTATCAACGTTAGGTCTATCATCAGTTTGCGTCGTTTCATGATTGGCAGCTTACAAAAGCGATCTTATAGAAACATAACTACGCGTCGTTCGCCATCTTTTACGATAAAGAGTTATTAACAACGAATCGATTGGCAAGTTTGTATAACGATACTGCGTTAATGCCTCCTTGAGCGAAATATGAGCTTCTCCTCTATACTCCACGAGTATACTGAATAAATGAGATGTTTCGTATTGACGTCAGAAGAAACCGATGTGTTACGTCGAAAGCTAAGAAAACTTCGCTTCAAACATTTCAACGGTAGATATACATACATACATACATACATACATACATACATACATATATATATATATTTTTTTTTTTATACATGTTATGTAGTATTCCTATTAAATACTTATGATCACACGCAAGTTTTGAAAACTATGATTGTCAGAAAAATCGAAACAATGAGAAGGAAGGAAAAGAGAACGATCGCGATAACGTATTCTCTCGTAAAAAATCTTGAATCCGATGGGGAAGATAACGTTAGTGCAATTAAGTTCAATGACAAATTTCACGAGGAAGTATTTAACCTGAATTTTGAAGAATGCGTATTTTGTATGACTCTTCGGAAGAATTATTAAGATGAGATAGATAGAGAAAGAAAGAAAGAGAGAAAGAGAGAGAGAGAGAGAGAGAGAGAGAGAGAGAGAGAGAGAGAGAGTAAGAGAGAAAGGAAGAAGGAGAGAAAAAAGGAAGAAGACATAGAGAGAAGAGAAAAAAAGTAGGGTGAACATGATTGAATCGGTGCATACTTAATCGTATCTCGTTTATACGTGTAGACATTGAGATTTTACTTTATCATTATTACGTTCCTTAAATTTTCCAGAATTCTATTTTTCTCGCTGTCTCCTTCCCTCCCTTTCTCTCTCTTTCTTTCTTTTTCAATAGAAATATCTCTCTCTCTCTCTCTCTCTCTCTCTCTCGATTTTGAGTTTATCACGGGAAAGAGTGAAGAAATTTCATTTCGATAATTTCGTTACCGATTACCTTTTCACCATCGTTCTATTTTCTCGCCTTTTTCGTTTCTATATTATCTATATATGTAACTATATATATATATATATATATATGTATATATATATATATATATATATATATATATATATATATAGTAGAAAAATATCGGATCTATATATATATATATATATATATATATATATATATATATCGTTACGAGGGCAAAGCTCGCCTTTACGCAGGTACATAACGTACACGTAAATCAAATCGAAGGGAAAAAGTAATGCCGCCGGGACAGATAATAGACGATTGGACTTTCCTACGCGTCGTAAAAAGCACGATAAACTCGGCATGCGAGTAATTGCAATAGCACCGAACGCACCTGCACCGATCGCATATTTTAACGTAACGGTAAGCAGAAAGAAAGTCTCCTTCCATTTTCTTTCCTTCTATTTCTTTCTCTCTTTCTCTTTCTCTTTTTTTCTTTTTCTTTATCGTTTTCGTCTCTCTTACTAACTCTCTTTCTCTTTCTCTCTTTTTTATCTGTCTCGTTTCCCTTACTCTCTTTCTCTCTCTCTCTCTCTCTTTCTCTCTCTCCCTCTCTTCTTCTTTTTCGTTTAGAGAACAATAAGGCAAACTATACCCGCGGTGAGACGGTCATAAACGTGCTTTCATTTTTGCCCGGGGTGTCTGGTAGTCGATATATGGCGAACCAATCATAATAAATCGTGTCCTTCGGTTCCTTGACCGCAGGTTTCACGAGGACACCGTGCAGTCGATGTCGAAGACGACAACGAAGACGACGTAGGTGATGCTGGTGCCGATGGAGCATTCCGAGCGTTAAAAATACAAAAGCTGCAGGGGCTGTACTAAACTCTTCTCTCTCTCTCTTTCTTTCTCTCTCTCTCTCTTGCTCTCTCTCTCTCTCTTTCTTTCTCTCTTTTTCTTCTTTTCTTCTCTGGCCGTGCTTGATCGTTACCGGTACTTCATCTTCATGGAAACGAACCATTATCGCTAATAGCTCGCTGGACGTGGATGGATACGTAAGTACAGATAGACGTATAGCGACCTCATGTTCGGTGCTAATTAAATCCCTATTTAAATTACAAATTCGTATATAAATCTTGCTCCACTTTAGCGAATATAACAAGTTCCCTGCTTCTTTACTCCGTCGACTTCAAACACGATTGCAACGTTTTCGTTGATCGCATCGAATAATGAAATCATGAATTTACGTACGTGATCACAAACGATCGATGGATATACATGGTTGATATTGGTAATGATATTGCTGAGAAAACATTGGCGTAACTTTATCGTTACGATAGTGTATATAAAATTTTCACAATAATTTTGAGAAATCTTTTATTATATTATTGATTTTTAATTGAAGTTTGTGTAAATATTTCTGGAGAATTATTATTGACAATCATAGAAACTTATGAAATTCGTCTTTATTAAATTTTTTGTCAGTTTGCAGCATCTCGTAATATTATATCGTTAATACAGAATAGATAATGAAATTTTTATATTTTTCAATAAAAAATTTCGAAAATTCACACCATTTTTCTTCTAATCATTCATCTTCAATAGGTACGAGCTATTATCGATATTAGTGCAATAAATACAATCTCTTAGGCTATCAGAATTATACAACGGATACAACAGCTATCATAGTATTCTCTGTACGTTCTTATTTTTCTTCTTCTTCTTTTTCTTCTTCTTATTTTTTTTCTTAGTCAATACTTTATCTCTGATAATTTTTGTACGTTCTTGTATTAATTCCGTCATCCAATCTGGTATCGTTATACGGTACGTATTACTGATAAGACGAGTTCTCTTTCTGAAAGCTTTCGAACATTTTTTTATTTCATCGATTCACATAAATTATATCGATGCAACAACCTGATAAGTATTCAAGAGACAAATCGCTACCTACGATCTTAATGCTATAAGATGTCCATGTTTAAAAATTACTTTATTTCTGTCATTTATTTTTATTAACTACGCGAGTTGTCTCAGTAGAAAAGAAAAAAAGCGGAGAGAAACTTCAATAAAAAAAAAGAAAAAGAAAAAGAAAGAAGGAAAAAAAGGAGAAAAAGGAAAAAACAGAAAAAGAAAAAAACTTATGGCTAGTTTCACGGCGATCATGAGTTAGCTACTCGTTTTACTCGTATTCGTCGAAAGTGCGCCGTAACAACGTTTCAGGCATCGTTTGAAGAAGAAGAAAAAGAAGAAGAGGAGGAAGAGGAGGAGGAGGAGGAAGGTAGAACGGATTTTCTGCCGCGTGTACCGCGCGATTCCACGAGGAAGAAAGTAACAGTAGTGGCACTGTTTGCCGGGACCGCATAAATCTTAGGGACGCAAGCAAATTGTCTGGGAGGGAGATAGAATGGTAGGCAAGTAGAAGAAGAAGAAGAAGAAGAGAGAAAGAGGAGGAGGAGGAGAAGAAGGATAAGGAGAAGTAGAAGAAGAAGAAGAGAAAGAAGAAGGAGAAGGAGAAGAAGAAGAAGAAAATGAGGAAGAGAAGAAAGAGAAGAAAGGAAGAAGAAAAAGGAGAGAAAGAGAATGCTGCCGTGCTCGTGCGTGCGGGAATATAACAGCTAACAGGAAACGTTATACGTTCGGATCGCTCGTGTATATCCGTACGCTATATCAAGCTGCTCCTATGTTTGAAACGGAGCGGTCGCTTGTGTTCGTCGGATTTCTCGCAAGGATCCGAAGATCCTCCTCGTGTGTTCTGAGTGCACGTTGTACGACTCCTTGTCTAGTATTTCTTTTTTTTTTCTTTCCTTGTTGCTTCCTTTCTTCTATCCTTGCTTTTTACTCTTTTCACTTATATCCACTGAGAGAAAGAAAGAGAAAGAGAAAGAGAAAGAGAAAGAGAAAGAGAAAGAGAAAGAGAAAGAAGAAAGAGAAAGAAAAAGAGAAAGAGAAAGAGAATAAGAAAATGAGAATGAACGAGAGAAAGAGAGAGAGAGAGAGAGAGAGAGAGAGAGAGAGAAGAGAATTCTTTTTTTTGCACGAGACTACATATATGGACCGCGGTAATTGTCTCCGTAGAAGATGCGAGTATTAGTCGAATGGAGGGTGTTGATTCTTTCGTGGTATGCGTACAGGTTTAAATGGGACATACGTCTATTTATGTGTCTGTGGGATACGTCTGTGTGTACATGTGTATATACATATGCTTCCAAGAGTCAAGTAAAGTGCACTTTACATCTCCCTCCTTTCGGGGATGTATCATCATTTTGCTTCTCTATTTATTCACGCGTTCTTTCCGCCGAAGGATTAGTCTATACATACTTTGCATTCGTTCATTAGATCTTCTCTTTCGATGTTGTAAATTGCTAATGAAAAAAATGATCATATTATATAGTATTAAATCCAAGTTCGATTCATAAGGGTTTAATAACGTAACAAGAAACGCTCTCTCATAGTCGATATAGAACTCGCGTTATATTACAACTCTATTCTTCTCTATTTTCTCTTTTTATTTTTTCTTCTCCTCTTCTTCTTTTTTTTTTACATCGTTAACGCTTTAAGGCTATGAAGGTGCATGACGCGTAACCGGAATAAATCTATCCATTCGTTCGTCTATTATCCATCCATCTGAATAGAGAAATACGAAAGGAGAAAGGTTTCTTAGGATAAGAAGAAGAAAATCCGGCTGCCGCGAGAAAAGACGCGTTGATACGGATCGGAAGGTAGGCGCCCGCGGACACGGAAGGGTAGCCCTTTGGATCCTTTTGTGATAGGACAAGAGCGCGATTGAAATCGATTGTAACGTCATCATCAGTGCGCTCGTTCGCTAGCTAGCTGGCTGGCTGGCTGGCTGGCTGGCTGGCTGGTTGGTTGGTTGGTTGGTTGGTTGGTTGGCTCGCTTGCTTCTTCTTCTTCGTGCATCGTGTCTGCCGGCGCTGCCTCCTCACGGCTTGCTGCCGATCCGTATCTAATAAGGAAGAGCAAATGGATTGTGATCCGTATCTCGGAATTGCCTAGGCGAGGTAAAGATAATACGACGCGAAAGGGTTTCTTTAAATGGAGAACGTGAATCCTTCAACGACAAGCGGTCTTCTCCGAGGATATACTATTCCTCTTTTCATTGTCTATTTCGTCCATTCGAACGGATAATTAAAGGCTAACTACGTCGATCTCTATCGTGAAAACAGTTTGTTTTTTAACGAGCGATATCGGTTGGGAAACATCATTCGATGGTGGTGATCGTGGTTTGTGGCTCTTCTGATTGACCTTGAATTTACAGGATCAATTAAAAATAACGACGATTCGATTCTCTCTTATTTCGAGACTTTTCTCTTTCCTCTTTTTTCTTTTCTATTATTTTGTTTAATTTTTGTAATTTTTTCTTTTTTTTCTTTCTTTAAGATTGCAAGATTTGAGAATCCTTACATTGCGAATAAGATTTATATAGAGGAGGATAAAATTGAATAAAAGAATATTGATTTCGCGAATGAAGCAGTTTACGCTAGACTCGGATATCGTTTACCACGACAATTTAACCACGTTAATTAGATTTATAAGTGTAATCAAATACTTGAGATCATATTACGTGATCGTAGGAATTTACCAGACAAGTACTTAGAGAAATTCTCGTCGTCCTCGTGCGCGTCTCTTTTTTCATCGTCTTTCTACTCGACTCGACTTTACTCGAATCTCTTATATCCTGCGAATAAAGTCTCGTGTGAATACGATGCGGCAAATATTCAAGCTCGTAATTTCAGGATATCTTTTTCCACTCTATTATGGGATTCCTATGAACGGACTCTAAAGTCTAACTGGACTTCTATACTTGGAACTCGTGAGATGGGATCACGCGGTGAATCGATCATCTAGAATCCAGAGCCGTTGCCTTCGCGGAATCTATTCCATCTTCGTGAATTCCTCGTCTCTTGCAGTTTCTAGCAACATATATATCTATGTACTTGTACGTGTATGAATTTTGTGAAATCTCTGTTTGAATTTATTTAGGTTCACTTATGTCACCGATTAATAATATAAAAGTAAAAATGAATATTTAAAATCGAAAGACGAAAGATAACGAATGAATATGCATACTTTAAATAATTATATCGCCTTTCTCTCTCTCTCTCTCTTTCTCTCTCTCTCTCTCTCTCTCTCTCTCTCTCATTCTCGCTCTTACCACTTTTCATTTTTCGAATCGAATTATAAATTAGGGGAAAATTAGGTCAATTCGAATTATACATGCAGATCATTACTTCTTATCTCAATTATTATTCCGAATGTTAAATTTATTTACTAGTTACTAAATTTAAAACGGTAACACACATATACGAATAGACTCGTTTCCACGGCCCGATTACATTCTATTATACAAAAATATCATCGGTGACATTGTCCTTTTTTTTTTTTTTTTAGATTCTTTTTCCCCTTCTTATTACGTCGGACGCATAACGAAGGCGATGGAAACCAGGTAGGTTAGGAAACATGGCACGACCTTGAGTGTCCCTCTTTCGAAAGTAGAAGCGGTTTCGATCGCGATACGTTTTTATGAGACATACTCGTTTCCGTTTCCTTTTTCAAAGTTTTTAGGCTCACGCATGATTAGACGTACGATAACTTGATCAACTTGACGAAATAACGAATGTATTTACATAAAAGATATTTTATTTACTCTATTATCGGTAAGAGCATAATTTTTTGATGATATCGTTAAATTTTCAACGATCTTTTTCCTTTATCTTTACATTTTTATAATGTGAACGATAAAGGACAGTGAGAATTTTTATAATCCCACTTTTAAAAATCTATGAGCGTTTTTATATATTCAGAAATAGCCGAGATTAATAAAAGAATAAAACAATAGATATTTATCATGAAATAATAACAAAAGAAATAATATAATATATCGAATGTTGGTCTTTTC